CGCATGTCTAACTAATGCAGTCACCTATGCGAATGACATACGGGCAGGGACCACTACCCCCAGCTGCCCCACGCTGAGCAAACCACTCACGGAGGTCCTACCCCCAGCTGACGCTGTTGCTGCTGCCTCTGACCACTGCCAAGGCCTCCCCTCTGACTGGTACCACCCCAGCCACCACTACTACCGCCGCCTCCACTCCCACTGCCGCCACCACTGCCACCGCCACTGCCGCCACCACCGCCGCTACCTACACCTCCACCCCCACCACCGCTCCCCCCACCACCGCCGCCCCCTCCACCGCCTCCACTGCCTCCACCGCCGCCTTCACCTCTGCCGCCCCCACCGCCCCTGCCTCCCCTGCCCCTACCGCTGCGGCGCCTCCCACTAGGGGCAGACGCAGCTCCTACCTCCTCAGCACGAAGCTAGTCAACAGCTGCAGCAGAGGCTACTGAGGAGAGAAGGGGGGAGGGCGAACACCCCTCAAAGAAGGGAGTGCGAGGAGTGCCACGAGAAGCGTCTACAGCGACTATGCTAGTCTCAGCTGCAAGGAAGTGCTTCTTGAGCAGGTCAACAGTGAGTTCGGTGGGGTCAAGGGCGAGAAAGGAGGTCTTTGACAGCGCTAAGAGAGTCAGGGAGGTGGGTGACTATGAAGTAGAGAGTGATGTACCTGGGAGGAGGGTTCTTGGTGGGAAACTTGACGGGAACCGCAGCACGGTAGCGACTGTCACTAGTGCGAAGGTGAGTGACGAGGTCGGCTACTGTGGAAAAGGCAGACAGATATGGGAACAGGTAGGGCAGGAGAAGGCGGCCTAGAGCAGCAGTTGCCGGGGAGGAGTAACGAGCGACTACAGCGTCGTACAGAGCTTTTGGAGTCTTGTGCTCTCCAAAATGAGCACGTTTGGCTAACGGCAGGTGGTTGCGAACGGCTAGGCGAGTAGCAGCGTCACGAGTAAGCCACTGGGAGCGAGCTACACTGCGCAGGCCAGGCAAGGCAGGGCTGCGTAAGGCGACGCAGCAGCGTGCTGCGCGTGGCAGGGCAGGGCGCATGGCAGGACAGGGTGCGCAGCGGCGCGGCGCGCGGGTAAGGCAGGATGGCGCGGCGGCAGGGCACGCAGCAGGGCAGGGTGCGCGGCAGCGCGGCGCGCGGGTGTTGGTGCAACCTACGGTTTGCACTCGGCTTGTTATCAGTGTGCGTACATGTGTGTGTGCATGGAATGGAATGAGGGCATGAAAAAATATATATATTTCATGCTTATAGTAGTGTGTGCATGAAGAATCATGATGTCGAGTGTGTGTGTTTGTGTGTCGAGTCAATAGCGAGTTATCGCTAGTCGCGTGTCACGCGGTCATTTGTGTCTCGCACGCAGTTTCTATTTTGTCGTGTGTTGAACGTTCGGCGTGTTGCAAGTGTGTGCAGCAGACATATCAAGAACTCAAGGATGAGTTTGTGATGAGTTGGGCCCACCCAGGGATGAGCCTAGGGTGTTTGGGCTTGACATGTTCAACGGCGACAACTTTGCTGAATGGTCCTTCAGAATAGAGAATGTGTTCGACCATTATGTCCTGCTGGAGGTGATGGAAGGAACGGAGAAGCGTCCCAAGAACGACCCGGAGAAGAGCCCGTGGGTGCGGAAGAGCGCACAAGGCTACCTCCTACTAGGGCAAGCGTTGGGGAGAAGACAAATCCGTCACATCAAGCCTTTCCAGCATGAACCAGGGAAGGGACCAAAGGCATGGGGTGTCCTCAAGGGTGTACACGCTCCTGCCATAGCGGTGGTGTTGGAGTGGCAAATGGCGACACTACGAATTGAAGAGGATGAAGCGGTTGAAGAAGGGGTGCAGAAATACTTCAACTTATTGACGCGGCTTGAGGGAGCTGATTTGAACTACAGTGAGTTTAGAAGTGGACCAAGTTGCTGGCCTTACTCCCAGAGTCATGGTCCTCATTCATCAACTTGAACCGTGATCTGCCCCGCCTCTCGCTCAAAGATGTGAAGCGAGCAATCCTTCAAGAGGATTTCCGCCGCCGTGAGTTGGCGAGTGCGGATGGAGCCGGGGCAGCAAGCATCGGCCAGGGGTATGGCCGTGGAAGAGGTAGAGGACGAGGGGATGGCATGCTGTAGTCACAATAGGCTCCAATGTGCCTAAAACGAAAGATAGAGTGCATAGTCAAATATCTGCTCAGCGTCTTCAAACGTTCGTAGCGTTCTGGTCACAATTTCAAATAACCTGATTGAACTTGGATCTGGAGCGTCTTAATGTTGCCTACACTAGGCAACTTAGATCGCACGATTTGACCAAGTATTGACGACACAGCATCGGTTTGGATGAATGGCACTATGGCAGCCACTATAGTCTTAGAACACAAGATAGGAAGAGTTAGGAAGAGTTACGAGTTGGGAATGACTTCCAGCTCCTACAAACCCCAAGAGCCGAGGTACAGTGATGTGGAACAGTGCCACACTGTCCCCAACCAAGAAGGGTCTCGAACCTACCCTTCACAAGGGTCTACACCAATAGAAATGTTACACTACACATTGTAATGTAACTATCTTCAATATCTTGAAGTGTACCCTTTTGGCGAGCTTCGAAATCACTTGAACCTTGAAATCAAGGCTCGGGTTCTTCATCACAAACTCATTTTTGAGTTCTTGATGGGTCTGCTGCACACACACGTGCGACATGCAGAACGTTCGACAAGGGACAAGATAGAAACCGCACACGACAAAATAGAAACCGCGCGGGACACAAAATGACTACGTTACACGCGACTAGCGATACTTCCCTATTGACTCGACACACACACACTCGACATCATGACCCATCATACACACACGATTATAAGCATGAAATATATATTTATTTCATGCACTCATTCCATTCCATGCACACACGCATGCACACAGACGGACAACAAGCCAAGTGCAAACCGTAGGGTTGCACCAACAAACTCCCCCTCGGATTGTTGGCCTTAGGATCTTGCTCTCTCAGTTCAGAGCCATCCCACCCAGCTTGCAACACTTCCAATGCTGCTGCTCCACCAGCCTTTTGGTCATCATGTCAGCCGGCTCCCCGTCGTCTTCACGTAGTGCAGCTCAACTTCGCCCGCGGCCACCATGCTCCTCGTCCAGTGCCACTTCACCCTCATGTGCTTGGTGAGGCCGTGTAGCACAGGGTTCTTAGCTAGAGCAATGGCTCCCTGGCTGTCACATAATATTGGGGTAGGTCCTTGCTGCTCCTCCCCCAATTCAGCCAACAAACGCCGCTGCCATACAATCTCCCGTACGGCACGGAAGAGTGCCATGTACTCGGACTCCACCGAGCTCAAAGCTTGATCCACCTGCTTCTTGCTCTCTCAAGCAGTTGGGCCTCCACCAACACAGCATATGATCCCTCCAACACTTGTCATGTCCTCTGGTTCTGATGCATATGAAGCATCCGAGTAGGCGGTGATGATCAAACGCCAAGGTTCAACACCATCCGCGCCCTTTTGGCGCCTTTGCGCTGCCTCCGAGTATTGCAGCCCAACGGTCGGTGTTTGGCCAAGATACTTGGCCACCCTCATTCTAGCTGCTACCTGCTCCTCATTAGGGCATGGAACAACTCTTGCCAGCTGCCCGGTAGCGAATGCAACATCCGGTCGTGTGTTGACCGCCGCATACATGAGGCTGCCCACCAACGAGTGAAATCGGCGCCTCTCCTCTTCACCAACGCTCTCCTCCTCTGGTCCCTTCACACACTTGAACCCAGAGGGAAAGGGAGTAGCCACATGGCCTTCACTCTGCCCAAAGTTGGCAGCCAAGGCCTCCAGGTACTTCCAGCGATCACGTTGGGGCTCTTGCGCCGTGTGGAAAACCCTTCGACCGTTTCCTAACTTCACAAAATGCTCAGTCTTCACCAGCGCCACCAATGCAGCATAGACTTCGGTTAGCTGACCGAAGTACTCCAACTGTGCAAACGAAACTGCACTACCGACCAGTCTGTGGGGAGAATATTTTGTACGTCAACTGCTCACAACCAAAACGAGTTACTCCAAGCTGGCAGTTCCGACCTTCTAGGAGTCGAAAACGCGGTGCGCGTTTAACGAACGACTAGGCAAACCGTCGATGGGAGAAAGCCGAACGGTTAGGTAGGCCGTCGCACTCAGCGTGGCGGACATATGGTGCCTCCACCCTACAGTTACAAAAACGGACTTGCTGCTTCTAAACTGGTACGCGTTTCTGGTGCATCCCGTGTAAGAAATTAGGGGTTTCACGGAATCACTTGCAAACCCAATAAACACATGATCTCCTTGAATTTCTCAACCATGGAGATACCTCAACAAATCCCAACCTGCGCCGATTCTCTTTTCACAAGGACCCACGCAGTTCAGTTTTACCTCTATGATATGATATAAGCCCAATTCAGTACTTTCATTATATTTTGTCTTAGTTGCATTTGATACAGCTGCTAATGGCTGTGGACAATCGCGTGTAGTTGCTCATTTATGAAGTGGCCCGAAAATGTGGAGACCACACCAAGCTGCACCAGAAGCTCAAGCGCGCCATGAGACTCTCGCCATGGACGAGGACGGTGCCAGCGATGCAGGAACGAGTCAGTTCTGTGCTCACACGCGACGTGAGCTCGATGCAGAAGACGAGCTGCTTGAAGCAACAGCTATGCCAATACCCATATCACTAGATAAACGCTTACAAGATACCGTATTGCTTGCTGCCTGCTGTACAAACCGGCAGGAAGAACTCGCTTCGCTTGAGCCGACGTGGCATAAGATGTCTTCGATAGACAACCCGGCTCTCGTGGTTTCGACCATTTAGTCGCGTGATGTTGCTCCCACCAATTCTCTAATCGCAGCTCCCTTAACCCAACAACAAAAGGAAACGGGAAATCCCCAGAAAGGAGTTTACGAACGTACAGAACTACATGTAGTAGGACTTGGGTTACAACATTGGTACAAGCAAAGTAAGAATACAACAACCTATCTACCACGAGAAAGTGTATTTTTATTTCTTTCCACCCTTCCCGCCCTTCCCACCCTTGCCCCCCTTCCCTCCTTTCCCACCCTTGCCGCCCTTCCCAGCCTTTCCGCCCTTTCCAGTGCTTGTTGTGCCCACGGTCTGGCCCTTGTTGTGCCCACGGTCTGTCAGAGAGGTGGCGGTGCGCAAAAACAGCGACGGGTCGGCTATAGAAGGAGCAAAACCAAGAGCCGCAAGTGTAGTCCTCAGTGCTTCGTGCCACTCACGGGGCACCTGGCAGAGACTGTAGACTGGCCGCCAGAGGTACCACTGGGTACCAGGAGGAAACGACCCAGTGAATCTAGGTGGGCGGCGCAGCCAGATCTCGTCGTGCAGGCTGCCCTGCAGGAAAGCTATGCTGAAGTCAAGTAGTAAGGGTGTACAGGCTCGACCCTGGCCGACGGGTGAACGTGGCCAAGTGTCGGCCCCTCCAAGCACACGTGCACTGGGTCACCTGCTGACTCGTAGGAGTGAACTGGTCAACCCCTCGATCCTGTAGGTCTGCTCCACTCACCAAGTTCGTAGAGAACGAGGGGAGGTAGAGACAAGACAGGGTGCCAGAGGGGGCTGCCAGGCATGGAAGGACAGTGGAGAAGCTAGCAAGGACAGGATCCCCAGAGGGGTCTGCCAGGGAGACTGCAACCGGCCGGCTGAGCGGCGTAAGAGTGGTGCGGTCTCGAAAGAAGGAGCAGGATGCACTCGAGTCCAGGGTGAAGGTGTGGAAGGCCTGAGCCGACGTAGTACCTGAGAGAGCAGACTCACCAGCACCTGGGGCGGCAGACACACTAGTACCTAGAGCAGCAGCCTCACCAGTACCTAGAGCACAAGCCTCAAAGCCCGGGTCAGGCGGTACACAGAGGTAACAGTCACCAGCAACACTAGTATCAACAGCATACATGGCAGCAAGGATAGCATCAAAGTCAAGATCAAAGATAGCAACCCCGGCCTTAGCCAAATCTCCCCAACGAGGGATCTCTGACGCCTCAGGGAACTGGCAATGCCACGTGTCTGTTAGGCAACCAAAGCATCGCTGGGTGGAGTGCGGGCCTCCGCACTGCTCACCAGCGCGGTCGCCGGTACGGAGGACGTAAGAGCAGGGAGCAAAACCCCCACCATGCTGACGCGCAGTGTACCACTCACGAAGCTGCTGAGGGGACAAGGTCACACCACTCCGCTGCTGCTGCTCGCGCTGACCACCACCGGCGCCATTCCTCTGCGCAGAGTCGCGAATCGCTCCACCACCGCCGCCTCCGCCGCCTCTGCCGCCTCCTCCACCTCCGCCTCCTCCACTACCTCCGCCGCCTCCGCTCCCTCCGCCACCTCCACCGCCTCCGCCGCCTCCACTGCTGCCGCCGCCGCCACCCCCGGCACCACTCCCACCACCACCCCCACTCCGTCCACTGCCTCCACTACCACCTCCACCGCCCCCTCCAGCCCCTCGAGCGCCCTTGCCCCCCTTGCCCTTGCTGGTGCGGCGTCTCCCGCTCGGGGCAAACGCAGCGCCGACTGACTCGAAACCAACGAGGTCGGCCGCAGCACCAGAGGCAACAAAGGGCAAGAGGGGGGAGGGAGAACACCCCTTAAAGACGGGGGTGCGAGGGTCACCACGAGAGGCTCCTACACCGACTATGCTCTTCTCTATCGCTAGGAGGGCCTTCTCGAGGAGGTCAACGGTGAGAGTGGTGGGGCAAACTGAGAGGAACTGGTCCCTGACTACGCGGAGAGATTCAGGGAGCCGGGTGACTATGTAGTAGAGGGTGATGTACATGGGGGGGGGGGGGGGGGGGGGGGGGGGGGGTTCTTGGCGCAGAACTCAGCAGGAAGCGCAGCGCGGTAGCGAGTGTCACTAGTGCGGAGGTGCGTAATAAGGTCAGCGATTGTGGGAAAAGCGGTTGATACAAGGATCGAGAACTTACCAGGTGCGAAACACTCTCGCGCCTCTCAAAAGAAATTTGGTTTCTTAGAGGGAGGAAACTGAGGTGTTGGTGAAAAAAACTGGTGATACGAGGCGTGTAATCTTACCTGGCACGGCGGACTTTCGTGCTGGCCATATTATTTTATTCGCCATAGATACGAATCTGTTTTTTAAGGAAGGATAAAGAGGTGTCAAAAAGAGGGGATACGAGGTGCGGGATCTTACCAGGCGCGACGGAGGCTGACGCTACGAAAAGCGCGAGAAGAAGCAGCGACAAGGACATGCCTAGCATCTTGTACCCCATTGTGGCGGCGAAAATTTGGCACTTGTCAAAGTGCTAGGAACTAACGGACAGAGTGGATGTCGCGAGGCGAAGGAAAGCGACTCCAAGGGAACAGGCAATCGCTCTCGAAGAGCTTCCATGAAGAATAATGAGAAGATCTGCTGATGCTGATGATTCCGCTATGCAAATGACGAGTGGTTTTTATAGGAGGGTGGTGAGAACGTGGCTTGCACACGATTTCGTTCATGGGGGTTGGTTTGGGTTGGTTTGGAATGAACATTTGGCGGGGAATATGTTTTTGCGCCAGGTACATTCCGTGAGTCTCGCTGTTCTCGTGTTCAACACAAGCGAGGGGGAGGTGTGTTGCGACTATGGCGTAACGAGTGTCGCGAGTGACAATTCTCGTTCGCGAAGGGTTTGGCAAATTCAAATACAACCTGCGAGGGCAACGTGAATCACAAAATGTACCGCCGATAGTCACGGCACGCCACAAGGTCTGATCGCAGGGAGACCTCTACTGGTCGCGCCTGCTGAAACTGGTTGACTTGATCCCACATGAGAGAGTCCAGCTCGTTGATGGAAAATGCGGAAGATGTGGTAGCATGTGTCATAGAAAAGGGACTGAACTGTAGATGAAGGGTATACATACAGTTTCGCTATCTTTAATTCGGCTACACTTTCACATTCTTGTATTTCAGAATTTTGTACTGCAACTCTTTCGACACATGGTGTCAACAACAAATGCGCGCTTCCCCGACTCACTCCATTTTGTTCGCTAGCGTAAATGTTTCACTTAACCCTTTCGCGAAGATTTTTGGGCCCTTCGCAGCATTATCCTACTTGCAGCTCCCTTCCCCATTTGACTCGCCCCCACCAACATGTTCTTCGCCAAGTTACAGACGTTCGAGGTTGCTACTGGTGGTTGGTAGAATTTGCTTGGTGAAATCACTTGGTACTACTCACTCCTTGCTGTGTACTTCCAGTGGGAAAATTTCAAAGGACGTTGACACTAGCATGGTGCTCCTCGACACAACATAGCTACAAGAGCTTGGAAAAAGGACGAGTCCAACGGACGACTCTTTATTAGACGATAAATTGACGTCTGAGATGTTTCTTGTCACGACAGATTGGTGACGGCGCAAGCATGAAACTGCGTGTCGACAGCGTCATAGCTACAAGAGTTCGGTAAAAGGCTACGATGAGAGAAGTGACACTCGAGTTTGATGCTTGCGAAAATGCAAAAGGCAAATATATCCTTTAGTTGCATCCATACTTATGAGGTTTGACACAGATACTACAGGTTACTACCCTGAGAGCTGCTTTTGCGTTCCCACACGAAGGATACGGAACGTACAAAATATATGGATTGGCTGCAATAATGGTACAAGAAGAATAGTACTATGGTACACCCTATATCTTGCGAAAACTTTTTACTTCTTTCCACCCTTGCCACCCTTTCCACCCTTGCCCCCCTTCCCTCCTTTCCCACCCTTCCCGCCCTTTCCAGCCTTTCCGCCCTTTCCGGTGTTCGTCGTGCCGGCGGTCTGGCTACCCTCCCCCCCCCCCTGATCCCCCCTAATCCCCGCCAGCCCCGCCCTGCTCTCCGCTAGATCCCCCCTGCTCTCCGCCGGACCCCCCCTGCTCCATGCCGGATCCCCCCCTGCTCTCCGCCAGGTCCCCCTTGCTCGCCACTAGGTCCCCCCTGCTCGCTGCCAGGTCCGCCCTGCTGGTTACCAGGTTTCCCTCCCTGTCCCCCCTTGCCCCCTTTCCCTCCCTTCCCGCCCTTTCCTCCCTTTCCGCCCTTCCCACCCTTCCCTCCCTTCCCTCCCTTCCCAACCTTTCCGCCATTTCCGCCAGCACCGATCGGTGGGGGGCCATCCTCGCCTCCCCCAATGTTGCCGCCACTGCCGGTATCTCCGCCAGTGGCGGTATCCCCATTGTCGCCACCAGGGGGTCCCTCAGAACCGCCCTGATCGCTGCCGAAGTCGCCACCTAGACTGCCTGTTTCTCCGCCAACGTCGCCGCCACTGTCGGTATCTCCGCCACTGCCGGTGTCTCCGCCAGTGTCTCCGGGATTAGCGAGTAGAGTAATGGTTGTCGACCCCGGGAGGCTCATGAGTGAGAGAGCCTTGAGGGCGAGGCTGCGACGTGAAGGTAAGGTCCTTCCAAACGCTACGCGAAAAGGAGAGAATGCGAGAGTAATGAGGCGACATGTTATGAGTCAGAACATTAAGAGTATCAAAATAAAAAACGGCGCGAAGGGGAAGAACGTGTGAGGGGTGGAAGTTTCATATGAGAGAAGAAATCTGATGTTGGTGAAAAAGTGGTGATACTAGTCGCGGAATCTTACCAGGCGCGATGGAGGCTGGCGCTACGAAAAGCGCAAGAAGCAGCAGCGGCAAATATATGCCTCGCATTGTGTGACCCATTGTGAATTCGATGCTTGTCGGAGCGGAACGAACTAACGAAAGGAGTGGATGACCCGCGGCGAAGAAGAGGGAATCGAAGCGATCAGGGAGCGGCTGGGGAAAGGCTTGTGGTTTGAAATGAGAACTGATGATAACGATGGGAGGGACGAGTGGTTTTTGTAGGAGGGTGGTGAGAACGCGGCTCGCACAACATTGGATTCACAGGGAGGAATTGGTTGGAAGGCACAGTTGGCGGGAAATGTGTTTTCGCGCCAGGTGGAATCCGTGAGTTTCGCTGTTCATGTATTTCACAGGCCAAGGAGTTGCGACTGTGACGATGCGAGTGTCGCGACCCTGGTTACTGTGACGAGGGGGCTGGCAAACTCGAATCCTTGAAATTCTACCAGCTTGCGAGGACAAAGTGGATCGCAACGAATCACGATTCACCGATGGGCACGGCGTGCTTCAAGTTCAGATTGCAGGTGGAAACTCCATTCGCCACACATGTTGAAACCGGTTGACCTGATTGCACCTGGGAGGAGGGCATTGAGCTCCCCGATGTAAAATGCGGATCATGCGGCAGCAAATGCTGCGGGAATGGGCAACAAGCGATTGTACCCATCATTATTGCGTTCCTCTATACTTAGACATTTGCACTTCATAGTTTGCTGCAGTCCTTTGCGGAATGGCAAATAACCAAAGCTAGGGTACTTGGGGAAACATTTTAAACCACCACAGCTTGGCTTTCGGTGGCCCCACAAGTAAGGGCAAATATAATGTGTTTGGTACGCATTACTACTAGCACCAATTGCTCTTAGCCCTAGCTACAAGGCATGATTCTCCATCCCGTTCAAGTTCCAAAGAGCATAGCAAGTGTATAATGAGTACCAGGCCCTCAGATATCAACGTAAAACACGCTGATTATGCTGATTTTGTAGCTCTGATTTCCGTTTTTCCTGAAAAATCAGTATATGCCTTATTTTTGCACTGTGATTTCAGTATTTGCAATTTTGCCACACTGACCATTTTGCGTGTTTCAGAACAAGTAACACTGACGAATCAGTATACTTCAGCGAGTCACACTGAAACGGACTTGACCGCCCCGGGGGGGGGGGGGGGCGACGCGTTTACAGACTGTACCTTCCCATGAAATCCCACCCCACCCACACACTTGGAATCTTTTCACATGCGCTGTACTTACAGCATGTGCGCGCCGAACCGTTTTGCCTCGCTGGAAGCCATCACACCAGAGTACGATGAACCTAGTTCAACAACTGCCCAATGAGAGCACAGAGAGCACACCACTGCTGGCACAGTCCACACCAACACGCCATAAAATATGGCAGTGGGGTGGGTGGGGGTGTTGTCATCTTGCATGGAAAGACGGAAACCTAGGACTTCGATCCCTCGCCATGGCGGCTCGGGAGAGGGGGTACCCCCATCTGCTCCCTCATTCTGTTCCTGCACTCGTCGTGAACCCCTGCAGGAAGTGACGTTCGAGCTCAACTTGGCAGTAGCTTCCCTCTCAAGCTCGGCATGCTCAGCACAGTTGAGCAGCCATGGCGGATCCAACGCCCGCAGGTGACAACCCTGAATCCGTCCCAGCCACGAAGCCAGCCGCCCTTAGTGGCCTAGACTTCTTACGACGAGCTTCAGCTGCTCCCGTGTTAGTCTCGCCATCAGCTCCTACCGTTGTTTTCCCTTCCTCGGGCCCCAAGGCACCTACCATTTGGACGCAGGGCGAGTGTTCGACGCATGCTGGCGCTGCCGCATTACCTCGTGTCGCTGCCGCATCAACTTCTGCCGCTGCCGTATCAACTCCTGACGCTGCCGCATCAACTCCTGACACTGCCGCATCAACTCCGGACGCTGCCTCATCAACTCCTGCCGCTCCCGAACCCACACGGAACCGTCATCCTGTGGCTGCCGGAACTACTCGCGTCGGACCCCATCTCAAAAGGGGTATGAAAGTGACGTGCTGCCAAACAAAGATCAAGTGGGGTTCGAGTCAAGCTACGCCAACGTCTGGTGTGGGGAACTCCTCCCCGGAGGCCCGACAATGTTAACAGAAGGGGAAAGCAGTTGAGACTACCTCCGAAACAGAACTGCCCGACATAGCCGAGGAGAGATACCATGATGCCTTATTTATGTTCAACAAACAGTGGTCTAACGACTATCCGTGGCTTATTCTGTGTTTGACGAGTGCAGGGTTCCCGTCAATCAAGTGCTCGGTCTGCATTGCGCACGCCGGTGTGGGCACGAACTTCGGCGCCAAAGGAGAAGGGGCGAGCGATGTGCAGACCCAGGCAATGCGGAAGCATCAATGCACAAGGAAGCACCGCCGCGCTCTGCGCAGACAGAGGACAGCCGAGGCGGCGCTCAAAGCTAACCGCCGGACTGACCACAACAAGAAGGTGAAAGATGTCGAGAAGGAGCGTCTGCTTGCGCTATTTGAGACGGCACTCTTCATCGCTAAGTCCGACGCCCCGATCGAGATGTACGTCGACCTCGTCCAACATCTAGTGCAACGTGGCACACCGGGCTTCCCAAAGAGCAATTATTGGCAGAATGAGAAGTGATGTGAACTATGAAAAAGTGGAGTACAAGTATCAAACCCTAGTTTTGTGTACCCCGTAAAGGCTAACCCACTATAGCCTACCCAACAACAACAGATATAGTGTTTGACACACCCCCATAGGCGAAGTGGGGGATGTCAGAACATATAGCTTTAGCATATTGTGTAGGCTATAGTGGGGTAGCCCATAAGGGGTACAACCCAATTAGGGTTAGTACTTGTACTCACTTCATTCATAGTTCATTCATTCATTGCTCAACTTATCACATGGTATCGAGCAGGTTCCCCTGTGGGACCTGTGCCTAGGGCCCACCACTTCAAAAATATTTTTTTTCCTGCCCGAAGCGCGCTCCTCCCGAGTCGCGCCTCGGGCTATTACCTCGACGAGCCGCCCTAGCGGCCTTCCCTCCCCTAGCGGCCCCGCCGCCCTACTCTCGCGGCCCCTGCCGCCCTACTGTCGCGGCCCAGCCGCCCTATTGTTCCGGCCCCGCTGCCCTGCTTTAGCGGCCCCGCCGCCCTACTTTCGCGGCCTCGCCGCCCGTCTGCTGTCGCGGCCCCGCCGACCTACTGTCGCGGCCCTGCCGTCCTACTGTCGCGGCCCCGCCGCCCTGCTTTAGTGGCCCCGCCGCCCTACTCTAACGGCCCCGCCGCCCTACTCTGACGGCCCCGCCGCCCTACTCTCAAGGTCCCGCCGCCCTACACCTGCGGCCCCGCCTCCCTACACCTGCGGCCTCGCCGCCCTACACCTGCGGCCCCGCCGCCCTACACCTGCGGCCCCGCCGCCCTACACCTGCGGCCCCGCCGCCCTACACCTGCGGCCCCGCCGCCCTACACCTGCGGCCCCGCCGCCCTACACCTGCGGCCCCGCCGCCCTACACCTGCGGCCCCGCCGCCCTACACCTGCGGCCCCACCGCCCTTCACCTGCGGCCCCGCCGCCCTACACATGTGGCCCCGCCGCTCTCCCCTCCTGCCGCGTCGCCCGAGCCGCCGACCGCCGCACCACCCTGCAGCACGCACCCGAGCCGCCGACCGCCGCGCCACCCTGTACCAGAGGAGCTGAGCCGCCCTGCTGCCGAGCCGCCCGGCCGCCCACCAGCCGAGCCGCCGTGCAGCCGAGCCGCCAAGCCGACGAGCCGCCCAGCAGCCGAGCCGCCCTGCAGCCAAGTCGCCGAGCCGCCCAGCAGCCGAGCCGCCCCGCAGCCGAGCCGCCGAGACGCCGAGCCGCCCTACAGCCGAGCCGCCCGACCTGCCCTGTCCGGTGAGCACAGCCCCACTGTCACTGCGTGCTCTTCCCCTACTGCTTGCACTGCTAATCTCCCGTCGTCATGGCTACCCCTAGTGTCCTCGCTTTTGACGCTGAGGGTCGAGCCATTGACTTTGAGGTCTGGGTCGACGACCTACAGCTGTTCTTACAGTGCGATAGGGCGGACGGTCTTTCTCTCTTTGACCTCACCTCTGGCGCCTCTCCTGCCCCTGCTGCTGATACTGACCTCACTGTTCGCTCTCAGTGGGCCACCCGCGATGCTGCTGCACGTCTTGCTGTGCGTCGCCACCTGCCTACCACTGAGCGCACGCACTTTAGTCAGTACAAGAGTGCTCAGACCTTGTACGACGCTGTAGTTGCGCGCTACTCTTCCCCTGCCACTGCTGCACTGAGCCGCCTCATGCTACCGTACCTCTTTCCTGACCTTGCGGCCTTTCCCACAGTCGCTGACCTCATTACGCACCTCCGCACTAGTGACACTCGCTACCGCGCCGCGCTTCCTGCTGAGTTCTGCGCCAAGAACCCACCCCCCATGTACATCACTCTCTATTACATAGTCACACGCCTCCCTGACTCCCTTCGCGTAGTCAGGGACCACTTCCTCTCAGTCTGTCCCACCACTCTCACTGTTGACCTCCTCGAGAAGGCCCTCCTGGCGGCGGAGAAGAGCATCATCGCTGTAGGAGCCTCTTGTGGTGACCCTCGCACCCCCATCTTTGAGGGGTGTTCTCCTTCCCCCCTGCTGCCCTCTGTTGCCTCTGCTGCTACGGCTGACCTACTTGGTCTTGAGTCGATCGGCGCGGCGTCTGCCCCTAGCGGGAGACGCCGCCCTGGCAAGGGCAAGGGGGGCAAGGGCGCGGGTGGAGCT